ACCATGGTTTGTAGCCACAAGTTTTAAATCCACATGGAAAGGACTTGGTATATGGAGTACTTACAGGGTCTGTGGTTTATGCAAAAAAAAAATACATCTGCAAAAGAAGTGAAGCAAGTTTTCCTCAATAAGAAGAAAACTTTGAAAAGGAATCTATGAGAGAGTAGGTGAGATCCATCCTGGTGCCTTGGCAGAAGGAAGATAATGAGGAAGAATAACAGCCTCTTTACCCCTTTCCACCACTGCTTGGCTTTATTCAGGGGTACAAGGAGGCACAGAACACATGTGCTCCTCAGCAATATGGGTTGCTGACTTAATGTGCAAGCACATTTGCAGCAGGATCCACATGAGCACATTCTCTAAGAGCCGCAGAAACAGCAAAGTTGGCTTGTAGAAGTCCCTCATAATTGTAATGTGTGAGTATCGCAGAACATTTAATAGGTTTATCTTTACAACATTTCCAAGAGATAGGATAACTCCATGTTTTCCTGTCTCTTTCATTACAGCCATCTATTGCTGTAAAATTGTTGGAGATATCAGTACAAGCTCGGAAAACAGGAACACTCCGAGTGTTCAAGAAACTGCCTGAACACTTGAACTCTTCCAGACAGGACCTCAGAACAGATTGATGATTTAGAGAAAAATAAATTAAAAAAAACAAACCTACATTACACAGTACTCCCTTATGTTACAGAATACCTCATACCTCATAAAAAAAGAAAAATCATCTTTGAATTTTGCAGTCATTGTAACATTCTTGTAATTTTAAAATTTGAAAAAATGCTCTTTGTTTAGAACTCAACAAGAACAGCTAGAAAGATTCATAATGAATCAGACAAGGTAAAAAAAATACATATTAGGTTAGGTAACTGGTTTTTGGACTGATGGATTTATGAATTACAGCAGAAGAGAGATCGATCTACATTTGTAAACTTTCTCAGTTTTAGAAAGCATTAAATATTAAAGCTGTGATCATATTGATTGGAACAGCAGGTTTAAAATGTTTCTGTGCCAATTTCAGAATGATAATTGGGAGCAAAGCTAAATAAATACTTTATTATATTAACCTAAACCCAGAGCACAAGGTACTAGAAGATACCCACAAACTAGCCACTAAAGTGAGGGAGCAAGGAACGATTTTTCGTCTGATATTTCTGTCTGTACACTGATTTACCCTGTCTCTATCACTAACTACAGATGGACAACTCCATCATCAGGTAGCTGGTACCAAAACCCCATTTTTAAATGGGTTTTGGCCAAATTTGGAAGCAGCACTAAGCACAGGCTACAGAAAGCCTGAAATACAGGCATGATTTTGCTTCAGATCCGAGAAGTGCAGACTCAGTGGGATGACACTGGAACATCACACACTGGCAGAACAAAAAGGATTCATCTTTGCTGTTGCTTATAGGAATTTACTGAGGTAAATTTGCTACTGAAAGGCTTCTCGGTTTTTCCCTGAATGAACAAAAACTTGCCAAAAAGCACAAGGAAATAACCAGAAAAGGCCAGAACTCAAATTTAATTGTTAGGAACAGGAAAAATCTTTCAATTAGTTTACCCTAACGTCCATGAGTACAGGATTTCTTGCAATAATAAACTGCTAGTCAGCATTTAATAAAGAAAAAGTACTATGGAAGTGATTCAGAAAATAAAATATATGCAACATTTGAAGAGAATTGAAAACATAACTAGTGCTATGCCTTCTCCCTCTTACTGGAAGATACTGACTCTGTAAGATAAGGAAAAGGTATTTTAGTTTGGCTCCCTATAAAAACAGCCACAAGGTCAGACATAAAAGGGGCCATGCTAGAGACAGCAAAATTTGAATTAATGAAGTCCCTTCTCTTTTCTCAAATTCCGATGTCCCATGATTTAGAAAATCCAGAAAGGAGGAGATTAGTATATTTTTTGTATACTTTACAAAATCATTCTTTTCTGTATGTATTGTTATGTTCTTTAGCTAGATATAGAAGTCTGTTATTGTCCTGCAATAAGAGACAAAGTCTTTTGCAAAAGGAAACACAATTTGAAAGAAATTAAATACAACTTCAGAACTAACACGTATGTAACTGGATATATGTCTGTAGCCAGCACAATTTTGAATACTTACTAACAAAACCAAATGACGTAAATGGTAAAATTTGAGTTTTGTGACGGAAGATCTTTAAATTTCATCCAAGTATGAACAGAATATAGTTTCAGCTCCAACCAATGACTGTTTATTGTCCTAGCCACTTGTCTCACAGAGTGCCTTATTTGCCTCTCAAATCCATAGCATAATAGGATGATGCAGTGCAAATATTTCAGCCTTACAAGTGAAACAGCACAATTCTGTTACAGAGAAAGATAAATAAGAATTGCAGAGGAGTCTGTCTGGGTCTTAGATTACATTACTTTTTACAAAGCAGGCAGCCATATCGTATACTGATCATGATCCATTTTAAATTTTTTTAGGGCTTTTAGTCTAAGAATTTTTGCCTTTACCACTCCTACTGGTAGATTTCTTCCAGAAACTCGCCATTTTGGTAGTTATACATTTTCTAGTCCCCAGCATCAGTTTGTTCATTGCCAGATTACACTGCCTCATGCTCTTTTTTCTCCCATAATCCCGCTGAAATTGGTAAGATTAGCCAAATGAATAAAGCAAATTGGAAATTCATGCATTACAATATTTTTTAAAAAGCTTGTTTTTAAACCCCATGATTACAAATTTAATTATTTCCCAGACACTGAATACATGTTCAAATTATTTTTAACATACTATTGGTGTTTGGATTTGTGCCAAAGCACAAGAATAAAGACCTAATATTTAATGACGTGAGGATAACAACTGTAAATACAATATTTCAAAAATGAAAAGAAAAAAAAGCAATGCTTTATCAATTTAATTCCAACAGTACTATGCTTTTTAAGGAAAGATAATCATAGCAAGCATTTTGATACACATTTCTTACTACCACATAATATATGCTTTCAAAACTATGGCTAGAAGGGACCATTAAATCATTTGTATAACACTGTATGCAGATAAACCACCTTCATATCCAAGATCATAAATTCACCGAATTACTGCTGCATTAAGCACCATCAATTGCATATGGCTAAAACACTTCTTCAAGGGAGACACCCCACCTTGATCAGAAATATCAGGAAATAGGGAATCCAGCACTGGCCATACATGTTGGCTCCAGTAGTCAAATTTTAAAAGTACATTAATTTTATTTTGAAGTGTCTCACTTCAATCCACTGTTTAAAAATAGAAGCACATTATTTCCGAAGTTCAAATTCTATTCCCAGGTGATTTTGGTTTTGATTCCTCCTGAAGTAAAATACCCCCATTATAGTATATTTTCTGCCTGTGTATTTCAAATTCACAAACTCACTACTCCATTGTTTGCATATCTAAGGTCACTTACACACTCTTCACCATAGGTTTGCACGGGACATTCATGTAAAAAAAAAGCCTTTAATCTATTGCAAAGTGCAGTTTCACTCTCAAGTCACTGATAATCATTCAAGATCTTTATGCTCTAACATGTATTCACTCTTCCTAGAGGTATTGTATTTGGTTGCATGAACACGCCTTTTGTTTGAACCAGCCCAGTTAACAGATCACTGCATTAAACAGTCTGCCATAACCGTTATCTATCATTTCACGACTTTATTGCATGTGCTCCCCAAAACTGATTAGTCATTTGCAAAAAGTGCAATCATCATCTGTTTTTATGGACCAGATTCTGCTACCAGATTCTTACTTGGGCTGAGTTAGACTGTGTTTTAAGAAGATATGTTGCTGTTCACAGCAACATGTTATACTGTGCAAAAAAGTCTGGCAATGTCTGTCCCTCGACAGGGAAAGAATAGCTTGCTTTTATTTTTTCAGTCACTCTGTTTCTAGCAAACTGACCTGTGTCTCACAAATAAGTAGATACAGACAAACTTTAGGAAAAGAAATTGCATCTAACTGTTCACTTTGATTCACTGATGTGCAGTATAACAAGCTGATGCAAAACTGCGCTATTAACTCTGCACAAGCACTAACTGTGGGTATTGGTGTGTATGACTATATTTTCTTGGAAGCTACAGTTCTCTCAATTTCTACCACTTGCTTCAGAAATTACATGAATGTTTTCACAACTGACAATAAATATTTAAACCAAGGAAAATTATTCCCCCACCCTTCAAAGATAATTTTATCTTTCTATTAAACCAAAAAAAAAAAAAAAAACCTTCTATTGAGGGACAAAAATACAAAAACCGAAAAAATCCTATCCTGTGAAATGCAGAATGCCAGATTTATGGTTAATATATATCACCCTCCAAAGAAAAATGCAGGTTAAGATGTACACGGCTCTCAGAACAGCTCGTGAAGGAGGTTACTGACAGAAATGCTGTCACTGACTCAGCTCTAACAGATTAGGAAGGATACTCTGCTTCTGAACTACTTCCTATATAAGCCATGTCTCACACTGTAAAGGAAGCCAAATGAGAAAAATACTATCAGCTACAAACTGTACAAACAACCACTAAAACCCTGAAATGTGTGATGGTGGAATTCTTTTCAGTATACATCAGACAGTAATTCTCATACACTACAACAGGGAGGTCATCTGCCATTCTTTAATCAATTATGATTTCATGTTTCCCCAGGAAACATTTATACTCATTATCCAAATTGATTCTCATTTATGTACGGTTTTCAAAATTTACAGCTTACAGTCACAGTGAGCTGTGAATTACAGTTTTCTTTTATTCTACAGTATTTTTTATGGGCTAGATATCATGGATGATTCGACTATATCACATGGTCTTTTACCCAAAAAGAAGAGAATTACAGTTTTATTTTATTCTACAGTATTTTTTATGGGCTAGATATCGTGGATGATTCGACTATATCGCATGGTCTTTTACCCAAAAAGAAGAGATTAGGGCATACTGATTTCCACATTCTAATTTTCTCAGTTAAAGAAGAGAGAAAAATTATCTGTGGCATTTACCTGTAGAAGGCTGGAGGAGCAGCTTCCCTCATCCCGAAGCTGCCCTGTTCATTTTCAAGGTAATAGGGTACCTGTTGGCTGTGATGATGGATGAAGGGCGAGAGCTGGGGTGCCGTTTGCAAGAACACCACTGGGCTTGGTGGGACATTGTTCAGTGAGTGAAATCCTGCCAGACTGCTGGACCCGAAAGATTCAGAAGTAGGGGCATAGCTGAGAGTAGTAGAGCTGTACACTGGAGCCGTCGTACCAAAATCATAAGTGGCCCCTTCTGGGTAGTTAAAAACTCCTGTCTTGTTGCTCTCCACGTACATGTCGCTGAGTGATCTTTCCAGGGGGATCTTCAGCTGAGGTCTGCTCAGCGTCTCCAGTTCAGTGCCTTGAATCTGGTGCAGCAGGGTAACTCCAGAGGTTTTGGTGTGAAGGGTCATGGTCAGTGCTAATGGCAGTGAGCAAGGAACATATCTGCTTTTACTGTCAACAGCGAGATTGGCAGCTCGCAGTCCACCTAAAAAAAACACCAGAACCTATTCTGAGGCTCAGCAGAAATCATAATAAAGCAGCACTGCACAGGTATTCCTCTAATCTCGGCAAGGAGAAGGACACAAACAAATGCAGAGCGAGCACTGAAAACGCACATTCTCTCTCTCCCCCTCCCTCCCTCCCTCTCCCTCTCTCTAACTTTTAGGAACTCCTCATCCACGCTAATATGCATTACAAGGTGCTGGCCGTGAGCCAGGAACTCTTGCCTTGTGCCGAGGTTGGTTTAAACATCACTTTAGAAACAATTGGTTTTGGAGTTATACCAAATAATTGTCCCACGAAATGATACTTCATTCTTACTAGTCGTTCAGTTTTTCACTTCAGGGTAGCCAGCGCTCCGCAGCAACTAACGGGAAAGAATGCTTAAATCCAACCAGGAAGAATAGTCCAGTGGTCAGGCAGATTACTGCCTTTTATTTCCTCAGCAGGCTCCAATCTATCTGTGCTTATCTCTCCTCCTGTTTGATTCATTTTCATGTTTGCTAGAAATATGTAATGTGTACATTGTAGTGACCTTGGGTAGGACTATGCTGCAACCGAGATATGGCAAAACAGAATGTGTGTGTGCAAACGCGTGGGTCTCTGTGTGTGTAACGAGCCTCAGTTGATAAAACTAGCTAACAAAATCAAAATTAAAGGCTGTATATCTATGTAGAAGAAAAGGTTTATAAAATACTTTCACCAGTAATAGCAATTTGAGGTTACTGGAATGTAAAAGTAACATTAAAAAGTGAGGAAATCTTTAGATTAGCCGAGAAATTTCTATCTGCTCCTTTTTAACCTCTAAAATGATGAAACAAAGCATCATTCAGACTTTATCGTAGGAAGACCCTAAAAGTTTGAAAAAAATTATCTGATTTCATTACACACAAATACAGGAAATTCTTCGTCCTGGTCCTGTGAAAAAAAGGTCAGCAAACCTGAATTATTAAATTAAACTAGAAAATCAAATAGTCTAAAATAATCAAACGCGATCAGTTTTAAAATCAACTGAAATGCCTCTCAAAGTTATATTTAGCCCGAAAAAAAAAAAAAACGAGGAAGAGACAGAACATAATGAAAAGGTGTGGCATGCATGCTTCATCTTGCAGTCTCATTCCATATAATTTTAACTTTGCACAAACCAGTTCTCCTGAACCAGCTAAATGAAAACCTCCAGGAACTGTTTCGAGCCCTCTAGCTTTATTGCTGTGGTCTGTGGTTCAGTCAGTGAAATCGGTTAATGCCAACCTTAAACACATTAATATACGGGCTCCCGTTAGTATGCTTTGAATACTAGCAAAGTCTATGCTATACTTCAACAACTCCACAGTTATTCGGCTCAACCTTCAAAAAACCCAAGAAACCAAAATACTGAATATACAGGTCACTAACAGATTCAAGAAAAGTTTACTAAGAAAGGTTTTACTTTAGTAATAGGATTATGTTTTCAGAACTTCTACTAAAATAGCCAAAGTTATTTATATTTGCAAGATCGTGAAGCAATATACATTTGTACCTCTGCAGGCACACAGCTAAAAGAGCAGCACAGACATAAATATGTACTTGATAGATTTCCTCACCCACCAGCCACCCTCTCTACCCTGTTCAAATTTCAGATTGTAGACTTTGATCAAAGAGATAAGCTTGTTTAAATAACACTGGACTAAACATGTTCCCAGTTAAAAAAATAATAATCAGACAATCATACCCAGCAGTTCAGAAAGTCTTCGAAGAGTTTTTCTGAAAATATGCCAGACTGTGTAAGAGAAAAAAAATAGAGTGTGTGCATGTTTGCATAGAGTGGGCAAACGTGCATCTGCAGAGACTCACAAAACAGCACTTAAGCATAGCTCTTAGCAGCCAGTCTGCTGGGCTACACAGACTGAAATGAATGGCAGTTACGAGTTTAGGGTTAGTCACTCTTACAGATTTCATTTCATGCTTTGGTAATACATACAAAACGCAGTGTCTCCTATTAAACTGCATAGTCTGAGAATTAATGAGAATCTGTCTACTCTAAGAAGTACCCACTTCTACAGAGTGCTACAAAAGGGACTTAAAATTTTTATTTAAAGCATTAAGGTGTATGCTATTTTAGAATTACTATATAGACATGTAATAAAATGCTCCAACAGATTAGCTATGCAGAAGATAGAAGATACAAGTGTGCACACAGAGTTGACTTCTGAGGCGTCCTTTGCAACATCAGTGCTCCTCACCTGCAGTTTTTACAAACCTCCTTAACTATTTTTCGAGGGTTGTGTGTTTTCAGGGAGACAAACCTTCAAAATTTCCACCATATGCAAACAGCATTAGAACACATTGTAGGGTTAAGTAAAAGCACCATCACTTCTGCTCCATACCATTTAAACTAGGGACCCTATGAGCAGCTTTCTGCAAGCCAGTGTGGAAAGTTACAGTCCTGGCCCCTAAAAAGGCTCAGCAATAGAGAGCTGCAGTATCCATCCCTGCATCTCGGAAGAAAAAAAGTGAGTGCCACCAACAAGATCTTACAGGCTGGCTGGGAATCCCTGTGTTAGTATCCTGTAAGGTTTGGCTTACTTTGTCTGTAGAAGAAGAACAAGAGAGCAAGAAGGGGCAAGGGGGAGGTGTGGGGTTAGTCAAGCCAAATCCCACGAAGAAGTTGAATTTTTGGTTTGTGTATACTCAAAAAATGATCTTTTGATTCTGCATAATATATGTAGGATTTTTAGATATAAAAAAGCTATGAAATGCAACAAATTATGAGAGGGGATTAATTTTCTTGTCCTGCACAGTGATGACTATCCTGCTTGCTCCAAGTCAACACATGCTGCTAATTCATCTTGCATCTGTTTGTGGGCTCACCTCCCAGAAAAATGCGACCTAAGTTTCTAAAATCTGCTTTTTGTGTTTAAAGGCCAGGACTTACTCCACCACCCAGTTTACTCACTCTGATCTAGTAGATGTTAGATTTTACATGTTATGAGCACAATATAGAATGTGTACAGGATATAGCAATAATATTTGGTACTTTTTAGCAGTGGACAAGAAGTCTATGCAAAAATTTGATTTCACTAAATCCCACTTCAGGTATGCCTTTAAAAATACGCAGACCCCATACAGAAGGGCTTGCCTCATTCAATGTGTATTTTTAAAAATATCACATGTAGTAACGACAGAGAGTATATAAAAACATGAATTGGCTGCAGCATCTTCGTTTCCAGTGCTAGACAGAAGTGTTCAAAAAAACTACCTTTTCTGATTTAGTAATTTCTCCACTAATATGTATTCAACTGCAACCAAGCTGCCCTAAGCATTTCTCTCACCTGAATGAAAGTTTAATATTATTTTACAGTTACCAAGCACATACTACAGGAGAAAGTCATCTATCCCAGACTTCCTCAGACACCCATAAAAAAACAGGAGGAAACTGGTTCTAGAAAATCTGAAGATTTGCTAAATTTATGTCAGGTATAGATTGGCTTTTTTGTTATATTTTTTACGTTTGCTAATATACAAATAAAATTAACGCTGTCTTTGATCCACCCAGATTTATGCACACGTGGTGTGTATGCCTATGTTAAAATAGGGAAGAAACAGGAAGGAGAGAATAGCAATTAATGAATACTGAATAAACTGGAGACGACAGCCTACCATGACTGAGGAACACTACAGACATGTTGGCAAGGAAGGTCAAAGCAGAAATTGCTTCTTCATGTACAGTGATATTTAGTGAGACTGAGTCAAGAGATGAGTTTCTAAAAACAGTGAGGATTCAGACACTACCCTTCACATGGAAATGAGAAATTGATTCATTAAATGAATGAAAGTGACTGATTAAATCCTGCCTTCCCCTTTTTAAAATGTCAGCCTTTCTATTTTCCTTTTCTAGATATGCCAGAGTTCCAGTGCCCAGTTCAGATTTTCCAGAGTGAGGAATTTACTCTAAATTACACTAAGAAAATACCAAATGCAGTAACTTCAAAACTAAATCACACTTCTATGGGTCTGTGGTTAAATTAGCATCATTTACAGCTGAAGAATATTTAGATATGTTTCTCAAAGCAAATTCTGCTCATTTCAATTCATTGATCAACTGTTTGCTTTTTTTGTTGTTGTTGACAAACAATTCACGTGATCAGATTAAGCTGGCAGAGTCCTGCATAGTGCAGTTTGGCTCAACTGGACCATCAGTCCAACACCCAAACAGGAAGGTACTGAATCAAATTCAGGATTCTTACTGTAACAGACAACATGAATGCATTTTCACTTCAAAACTGGAACATAGCATAAAAAAAAAAAAACAGAAGTAGCCTCCTTCCACTGGTGGCAAATAATGTGGCACCAGCAAAATGGACTCAGAAATAGAAAAAGGAAAAGGATAGATAACAAAAACTATAGAAAATATTACTCTAACTTATCTAAATAACCAGAAGGTATGGGGATTTCCAGTGCCATTACCAATTTTCTATTAACTGAAAGTCCTGAAAGTCAGTCAGGGAATGGTAACAAATATGTTCAGTTTATAGGGATGGAAAAAAAGAAAAGGAAAAGGAGGAAGAAACAACCTGAACAGATTCTTGATTCTGGACAAGATAAAATAGCAGTTTCAGGGAAAAGGAGATGAAAGTAAAAACACTACACAAAGACTATTCAAATTATAGGAATCTTTAAACATAGCAAAACTTCTAATCCTATAATGGGCTTTTTGCAGCACTAGTTTTAGCAAGTATTCCAACAAAAAAATGGTAAACTCAGAACTTAGAACATCTACTAGAACTTTTCCATAAACCTGCTGACAGTGAGAGACCGTAAACTTCGTCGCTTTGGTTCCACAGCTATAAAGATAGAAGCTTTTTTTAGCTGCTGCAATTAAAGAAGAATCTATTGCACATAACAGCAGGAACATTATGTTTTTCCAAGATTCCACTGTAACATTACAGAGAAATTATGTTGTGTTTAGTCCAATGAGGAAACTCCTCAAGATAGACAGCTGGAGAACAGCACCATCTACCCCACCACTTTATAAATCTTCTCTGAAAAAAAAAACCAAAAAAATTAAAGCCCTTGATACCACTAGGCAAAGCAAGAGGTACGCTTAAAAATTCCTTAGGCTCTCAGTGAAG